TTAGGGCTTATAACTGGGAGTTTGTACTTTTTAACCACTAATCAGTTCCCCTTATCCCACCCTTCTCAAGTAACCACAAATCTAATTTATTTTTTCTGTGGCTTTGTTTATTTGCTTTTTGAGGTATAATTGAACTGTAACATTATGTTAGCTCCTGGTGCATATCTCATGATTTAGTATTTCTATACATTACAAAATGATCACCACAATAAGACTAGTTCATATACAAAGATACTACATTGTTATTGCCAGTAGTTCCCATGTTGTAACTCATTTATTTTGTAACTGGAAGTTTATACCTCTTAATTTATCTCATTTATATGTTTCACTCATCCCTTAGCCCATGTCCCTCTGGCAATCACCTCCTTGTTCTATGTGTCTGTGTCTCTGTTTCTGCTTTGTTGTGTTTGTTCACTTATTTTTTAGATTCTACATATAAGTGAAATCAGAGTATTTGTCATTCTCTGAATTATTTCACTTAATATAATACTGTCTAGGTCCATCCGTGTTTTTGCAAATGGAAACATCTCATTCATTTTTATGGCTGAGTAACACACTATTATGTGTATGTATATCATTTATATATCTTATATATGTAATACTGTTTTTCTACCAGTTTCATGCTGTTATGACCACTGTAGCTTTGTAGTATGGTGTGAAGTCAGGGAGCCTGATATCTTCAGCTCTGTTATGCTTTCTCAAGATTAGTTCAGTCTGTTCAGTGGCTCAGTCATGTCCACCTCTTTGTGATCCCATGGACTGCAGCGTGCCAGGCTTCCCTGTCCATTTCCCGGAGCTTGCTCAGACTCATGTCCACCGAGCTGGTGATGCCGTCCAACCATCTCATCCTCTGTTGTCCCCTCCTCCGCCTGCCTTCAGTCTTTCCCAGCATCAGGGGCTTTTCAAGTGAGTCAGTTCTTTGCATCAGGTGGCCAAATTATTGGAGCTTCAGCTTCAACATGAGTCTTTCCAATGAATATTCAGAACTGATTTCCTTTAGGATGGACTGGTTGGATCTCCTTGTAGTTCAAGGGGCTCTCAAAAGTCTTCTCTAACACCACAGTTCAAAAGCATTAATTCTTTGACACTCAGCTTTCTTTATGGTCCAACTCTCACATCCATACATGACTACTGAAAAAAACCATAGCTTTGACCAGACAGACCTTTGTTGGCAGAGTAATATCTCTGCTTTTTAATATGTTGTCTAGGTTGGTCATAACTTTCCTTCCAAGGAGTAAGCATCTTTTAATTTCATGGCTGCAATCACCATCTGCAGTGATTTTGGAGCCCAAGAAGATTCTCAAGATGGCTTTGGCTATTTATTTACTTTTGTGAAGCCTTACAAATATTCAACAAATTTTAAAGTTACTTGTTCTAGTTCTGTGGAAAATGCCATTGGCATTTTGATCAAGATTGCTTTGAATCTGTAGAATGCCTTGGTAGTATGGTCATTCTAACAATATTAATTCTTCTTGTCAGTAACAATATTAATTCTTCTTGTCAGGGACATGGTATCTCTTCCCATTTGCTTGCGTCATCTTCATTTTCTTTCATCAGTGTCATAGTTTTTGGAGTACAGGTCTTTTGCATTCTCAGATAAGTTTATTCCTAGGTATTTTATTCTTTTTGACGTCCTAATAAATGAGATTGTATACTATATTAAAGAATGTTCTTATATCATTGTTTTATGTGTAGCTGTCCAGTTTTCCCAGCACCACATGGTAAAGAGACTGCCTTTTCTGCATTGTATATTCTAACCTTTTTTGAGGTAGATCAATTGACCATCAGCATGTAGACTTATTTCTGGGCCCTCTGTCCTGTTCCATAGATCTAAGTATCTGTTTTTGTACTAGTACCATACATTTTGATTTCTGTAGTTTTGTAGTGTAGTCAGAAATCAGGGAGTGTTGACTGTTAACCAGAAATTGTAAGACATTTCCAATACATGCTCCCACAGCACAACTTGCAGTTTCTGTACTCTTAATACACATTGCCTTCAGTGGGTTCAATAAGGCCCACCCAAAGATTTCAATCCTATTTCCCATGAATCTCTAAGTGTTACTTTGTTTGAGAAAAAAGTCTTTGTAGATGCAGTTAAGGATCTTGGTATGAGGAGACTGCCTTGATTATCTGGTTGGACCCTAAATTCCATCATGTAAGATGAGTCCTTATAAGTGAGAGAGACACAGCAGAGTCACATCAAAAAAGAAGCTGATGTCATACCCTGGAGCTTTTAAAGGGAGTGCAGCTCTGTCAGCGTCTTGATTTTGAACTTCTGGCTTTGAGAACTATGGGAGAATAAGTTCACTTTGTTTTAAGCCACCAATTTTGCAGTAATTTGTTACAGAAGCCTCAGGAAATTAATATGTAGCTCTAGCAATGATTGGCTCAATATTTATTTTCTATACTAGACTGAAAACTATACAAACACCTGGATTATCTGTCTCCTACACTTTGATAGCTTTAGCACTTAGCTAGAGGGCTTGGCAGTAGTCGGTACTTGTAGGATATTTGTTGAAGGAATGAATATATAGGCTATGATCACTACATATTAACTGTATAAAATTACTATATTTCTGGTTATCTAGTAAGGGAATGGAGAGGAAACGCCATAAGCTTTATTTCTGGGAAATAGGAAGACAAAGATTTGAGGACAGAGTTGCTAGTCAGTCAACTTAGAATTTTGATTTCCAGCCTAAGAAGAGTGGATGTTCTCTGAAGAGTAGAGGCTTGGCCAGGAGAGCTGGTGGGTGGACATCTGATGTGGTGCTTCCCTGACACCAACCTCTCAGTTTCAGCAAATTTACAGGCTGATTGCTGCTATTTCATGCACCTTCTCTGAGCTCTCAGTGCACACTGGTCTTGTATCACAACGCAATGAAGGATTATCCCTGGATTCCAGTATAAAGGAGATGCCTTTAGTAAAGTATAAAGGAGATGCCTTGAAATACTAAAGGAGAGAAATCAGAAAGGCCTGAAACCTAGTGAGGAACCACACGCATCACAGACAGTTTACGAGGAAGCACTTCAGATTTAACAAAGGTGGAATATCTGGTTGTTTGACCTTATATAAAACTTGGTATATATAGTTATTTAATATCCTGCTTTAGGCACTGCTGCTTCTGAGATCTATTCTGAACCAGAAACAAATCAATAAAATAAAACCAAACTAACAAAAAACATCATGCGATTTGCTTTCAGTTTTGCAGTGAGCTTAGTCTGCCGGCCCTGTTGTTCCAAGTGGCTTGGCCATTTGACTCGTTGACTGTGTAATGATTTTGCTCAGGTTAATCACCTTCTGTTATGTGCCAGCACTGATAGAAATGCAGTGTTGCTTCAGGTTGAATAAGGTTTGAATAAGAACACTGTCTGAATGTGTGTGTGTGTAAGTAGGAAAACCTTTCACTTCAGAAATAAAAATGTATCTATGATGTTGTCAATATTAGACTAAGGGTTAAAAGTTAAAAATGGGTGCTCTAGAGATAGGTGGTACTTGGGATCCTCCACTCAGAAGTAGTGAATTCTTTCAGATGGAGCCATGTAAGATTAAATTCATTTCCTATTTCATTCAAAGCTTACTGTTTACTCTTCTCAATCATGTATGGAAACTTTTGGCTCCTGTGGTCTTTCTCTCTGCCGTGATGAATCCCCTGCTTCAGCAAACTGTCAAATTCTGTTTCTTCTATGAAGGTGCCACAATCAGAGGTGACATCTTTATTCTCTGAATTGCCCTAGTACTTATATTTTTATCATGATCATCAGAACGGCAAAAGCTGCGATTTACTGACTGTTCACTAAATGTCAAACACTGGGTTATATCCTGTACATACATTATTTCATTTAATGATTACAGTTCTGTTAAGTAAGCTCTAATATCCCTATTTTATGGGTAAGAAAACAAATTCAGAGAGGTTTAGGTGATTTGCAGAAAATACACAACTTCTGAGTGGATGATCCAAATTTTACACCTAGATAATCTCTAGAGCTCACAGTTTTAACCTTTCACACATACGATCCCTTAGTCTAATCTGGATAGAAGAATAGATGAATTTTCTTTCCTAGACTCTATGATATTATGGGTAGAGGTTTCATATTATTTCTTTCATTTCTCTAATAACAATGTCCAGTACCCAGGGACACAATAGATATTCATTAGATAAGTGAATCAATATCTGAAAGAAATTATTGCAATAAAATACTAGGCCTTAATAATATATTTTGGAATAACTTAAGAAAGTTATACTGTTTAAGAAAGTTATAAGTAAGTCATTACAAAATTTAAAAGATTGCATTAATGGGTAAGCATGATTCAGTTCAGTTCAGTTGCTCAGTTGTGTCCAACTCTTTGTGACCCTATGGACTGCAGCACCCCAGGCCTCCCTGTCCATCACCAACTCCTGGAGTTTACGCAAACTCATGTCGACTGAGTCAGTGATTCCATCCAACCATCTCATCGTCTGTCGTCCCCTTCTCCTCTGCCCTCAGTCTTTCCCAGCATCAGGGTCTTTTCAAATGAGTCAGCTCTTCGCATCAGGAGGCCAAAGTATTGGTGTTTCAGCTTCAACATCAGTCCTTCCAATGAGTATTCAGGACTGATTTCCTTTAAGGTAGACAGGTTGGATCTCCTTGCAGCCCAAGGGACTTTCAAGAGTCTTCTCCAACACCACAGTTCAAAAGCATCAATTCTTTGGCACTCAGCTTTCTTTATAGTCTAAATCTCACTTCCATACTTGACTACTGGACAAACCATAGCCTTAACTAGACGGACCTTTGTTTGACATTATTAAATCTGCCAAATATCTTTTTCATGTTTCTTAAAGTTTTATATGTAAATAAAGTATAAACTGAGATATTCAATCACATGTTTTCAATTTTCCTATCTAGATGATTTGGTTCAGTTTATCAAAATGCTTTTGTATAATGAAATTTGTGTGTTAATCTTATGTATTTAATACATCTTTATTAATCTTGTGCCTTTTTTTTTCTGGTTTTGTTTACAGGATGGCGTAGGGGTAGATGAGAAGCTATCTTTGCGGCAGGTAGCTGTGGTTGAAGATTTCTTTGACATTATCTATTCAATGCATGTGGAAACAGGGCCAAATGGAGAACAAATTCGGAAACATGCTGGACAAAAGAGAACTTACAAAGCAGTAAGTTAAGAAATGAAAATAGAAGAGAAAAAAAGGCATGCATTTTGAAATTTGATATTATATGCTTGTTAAAGTTGGGTTAAAAAATTATGAATATTCTATCTTCAACATAAATTTTACTGTATCATGGTCACACCCAGCATTTCAACTATTATTATTACTGCTTTTATTTTTGTTGTATGTTCACTAAGTTTATTTCATATAGTTCAAATGTGTTTTTAGCATTATCATTTTTTAAAAATAAGCATACAGTGTGGTTAGTCCCAGTTAAATGTCCACATGGGAAGATTATTTGTGTTATATGTTCAATACATAATATATTTTCAAATCATACAATATAAATTATGTATTGAAACAGATGAACTTTTTACTACCATTATTGTCTTAACTGTCCTTCCCCTTCAAATCATATTAATATGTTCAGGTATTTCTTATTTAATAATTATAATCACATGAATAAGAAAATTTTTTGTCCTCTTCTTATATTACCTTGTATTAAATACATTTACCCTGAAGGGTATGCATTTCTTAATTTTCCAGTATAGATTATTTTAAAAGTATGTGTTGTTTTTATAGTGTAATGCCCTTGATCAATTAAAAATGAAAATATATAATGTTTTTATTATAAATTATCTAGAAAACAGATATAATTAACTGTTAGACTTTGAAATATTTACTGTCAAAATGGAGTTATATATTATTTCTAAAGTTTCTAATTATACTTACTGTTCAATCTAAACATTTTATTCTAGTTTTTAATTAAACATTTTATGAAATCATCTTACTATAGATAATTCATCCTTTCTAGGAAAATTGAACAGTAAATCATTCTTTTCCAATATGAGCAAGTGTACATCAGAAATACCTTATCAGCAATCAGAACAATATCTTTTTTTTATAATTCTTATTGAACTTTGCTTTTGGCTACCTTTATATTAACTGTTTTCAGCTATATTTATACACAATATCAGTCTGGATCCATTTTTTTTTCAGATACAGAAAAATGTGTGAAATGCTCAAAGTTTCAAATACAGGTACATATGTTTGAAAATTAGCTACTGAGCATAAGAAATAGCTTCTTTTCCATAACTATTTTTTGCTATATTTCCAGGATCATATTGAATCTTAGTTGCATAATAACCCCTAATACATGTTGTATTTATCTCTCCTTCTCTATGGTTTTGTTTCTTGGCTGTTTCCAGATTGCATGGTTTGTGGGCAGGCACTTTTGTAAGTTTCCTTACATAATTCTGCCACATAAACTTTCTTTTGACTTACATATCCTAGGAGACATTTTTATCATGACTAATGACAATGATCTAGCTTCTTAAATTTTTTTTTTGTGCAAACTAATATTACTGAACATACTCATTTTGCCTGTCTCCTAAACCAGGGCTGTATCTCTAGATAATAATAGGAGAAAAAATTATATATTGATCTACTAATATCACTAACTGTGTATTCTTATGGTAATGATAATTCACTTTTACAAAATACCTACCTGAACTTGATAGGACTTTGTAAGGTAGGAATACATCAGTTCAATTGTATTAAATGAAAGCAAACCAACAAAAACCCAAGTAGCTTCATTGTCAGTAATCATATGGCAGCCGAATCTGTGTAGGTGCCAAAAGCAATTGAAAGTGATTTAATCTTTGAAGTGCATTTACTAGAGACTTTTAATTAAAATAAAATTAGGTCATAGACCCAAATCTCTCATCCTATGTTTTACTAAATGTAGAGAATCTGATCTACTGCCATAAAGCATGCTAAACCCTTCCAATAAATTGGTAAATACATTTCCAATATATACCATTTTGCATTAACATTTTGGAGACATTTTCTGCATTTTGGAGTAGAGATAGATACCAACTTTGAACATACTAATAGTGTCTGAAGCATCACCCATTCCCTCTTGAGAATGTCCTTTTTGAAGATCCTTCTCTTTGCCAAATTTAATTTTTGTTTTTGCAATTAAAGTATTCTTACCTTTTCCTAATATCACAAAGGTTTCTTCTGGCCTAATCTTTTGCCTTCTGGTATCTCTCGATTGAATCCTAATTAGAAAACATCTCCATTTTATGGAGTAACTGTACATCATAGGGGAAGAAAAAACACAAACACTGCTGCATTGCCAGCAAAACTGTACATATAACTTTATAATGAATTTAAGTATAATGTTAAAAGTTAATATAAGTGTTCAGCTAATGGGACATCACACTAAATGTAATTTGAAATGAAGTGGTTTAGTGCTATTAGGGTCCTAGAGTGTTGGGTCAGAATTTAGTTCTCAATGCTAATGCTGGAATTGGCTAGTCATTGGTAAAATTAGCTAGATACCTACTGCAATTATAATGGTTCCCATTAAGATTATTTTCTATTTCTAACACATTGGCTCATAGAGCATGCATGATTATGTTTATTGACTTTCTTTTTCTCCCTTATGCTACATGGCCAAGAAACTATACTTATACAACTAATCATTAAAACGTGTCATATTGTCTTAATAATATTACCAATAGATTTAGTGGTCATTTTATTTACTTTGCCTTTTTTGCAAATCTTTTCTGTGTTTTCACTCTGCAGGAAATGGTGGTCCTTTAATATTGGATTAACTTCTGAATGCCATTTGTTTTTACCTATCTGCAGTATATCATTCCTTGAAATATCTAGTCATTATACAACTTAAATTTTATTGCAATCTGATCTGACTAGAGATAAAATTGGAGGGTGTGTTCTATTACTTATGAGCTCTTTTTAAAAATCCACATAAAATGACACATTTTAGGAATATGTAAAGGCTATCAAAAATAATTTTTTTAGTTATTGTTGAATTCTAGTGTCTTTTAGGTATTTTTTCCTTTCATTTGTCTCTCTGTATAAACTTATACTGGTGCACTGAATGTGTTTCCTTCAATATTTTTGAATTGATGATATACATTAACAGAGTAGGGAAGAAGTGTGAATCATTCAGATATCACTTACATTTGAACTTAAATACATCTTTCTCCTAAGATTGAATGCAAGTATACTTATCAGTTTGGAAAGTGACTTCAAAATTAATTGTGTAACATTGTTTAAAAAAAATCATGAATGCAGGAAGCTATCTTCCAGTCCTTAACTTTTCTGAATTCTGAAGTCCTTAACTATTCTCTGAATTCCATCTTCAGGAAACACAGCCTTTCTCCAGTTGTCTTTTATCTTGCATTTTGTCACAGGTTAAAGCACAGTTGGCTTCCTAGAAAGGTGTCTTTAGTTAGGGTCCAATTAAAGGATAAAGTTTCAAAGTTCTTTCTTGCTAAAATAAAAGTAAGTGGTGGAAATACAGGAACTAGTGAGAAAAGTCAGTGTTTTCAGTAGATAGAACAGCCTGCATATGTACGTGTAAATGTACACATACACATGTAACTTGTGGTGTGAAACAGTAAGTTTACACGTATTACTCATATATATATAGCTGCCAGTAATTGCATTCATTTAGTTCCGAATGGAAAGCATATGCTACAGCTACAAGAAAGTAGACCAGAAGCCAGGCAAACTCAGTTTTAAATTTCAAATTTAGTACTTCCTCTCTGTGCCTCTTTGGGCCACTTACTTACTTTTTTCCCTCCTATTTAGAGGGAGATAATGATGTGCATGGCATGGTAAAATAAATCAGTTAATATTCATGAAGTGCTTGCCTTGTGGTCAACTTTTGAATAATGGTATTTCTCCTTTATCCAATCACTAGTCTTGTACCAGGTAAAAGGACAAGCAGGACAATCAACATAGCTCCATCCTTGTCTTAATAATAATTATGGATGTACATTCCTCTGCTTGCCCCAATGCCTCCATGTTGGGGAAGAGAGGAAAAGTCATAACTGAGGCATTATTTTGTGTACATCTTATAAATGTCACAGTCTCTGACAGTCCACAGCATAACTGTTATCCAGAGTTTGACCAGGCTGAAGGGAAAAATGGAAGTAAGCCAGGATCCCTTTGTTTAGGACCTTTCCTGTTAGATGATGTTTATGAGAATTTCAGTTATTTGCTGCTTCCCAAGTTCCAGTCTTATGTTAATTTTCAGTTACTTTTCTGAAAAATTTTAAAACTTGCTCTCTTTAAAAAATTTACTTTAAATATGAGTAGAATATTCCTATTCAGGGATATTCACGAGCAGAGAAGTCTGGTGGGCTACAGTCCATGGGGTTGCAAAGAGTCGGACATGATTGAGTGACTGAACAATAACAACATTCAGGGACATACGATAGAAAAATAATATGTGAGCCATAATGTCTGTATTCCTATTCTGACTTTAGAAAGGAAAAGTATTTATTTTTTCAGGTCCCGTAACACTTAACCTTAAAACCTAGTCAGCATCATTTTTATCCTGTTCTTTTTTTATTCATATCTATTGGTTTGGTGCCTTTACTGCTAAGTGGGATATTTTAACTTGCACTGTTTGGGCTAGTTTGTTATGTCAAAATTCTTAGAATTCTTGTCAGTTGAAAATAAGAGGTGTGACCAAAAGTTGCAACCATTTTACTGTCCAAAAAAATAAATAAATAAATAACACTAAACTAAAGTTCTGAGAGTTCCTAGCAATTCATCTACCCTCTGTTTGGCTTAGGCCACAGTTTTTGCACATGTGAAATGAGGGGGATATATTTCTATTTTCTTCCAACTCTGAAGGAATTATAGCAGTTTTCACAGTATGTATGGAGCCGTTACTGTATGAGGAGGCACAAGGAAAATAGTATCAAAGTGAACAAGTTGGCTGGCACAAGAAGTGTTCAAACAGGAAAATGCCTCCTGCTCTTGATAAAGCAGATTGGCTGATGAGCATAGCAGAGATATAGAAGATTTTGGCTTTATTATCATCTAGAGAGCTCTCATAAATAGTAATAATGATAATAATAATCGTGAAAAGTATCTGTAGTCATTAGACTTCTTTTTTACAAGTTTTAAAAATAGTGATCAAATAAGAAAGGGGATAAAAAATGACTCTCAAGTGTCAGCAG